ATTAATTATGCATTAGAGAAAGAGTAAAAAAAAAGTAGTGAACTTTGAGTGTGAACTTTATTAAGAGAAAAGAGAGAAAAAGAGAATAGAGTAGGTTGTGCGATGGGAAACTAGTGAGTAATAGGTAGAGTATTCCCGCATGTACGTCGCATTGAGAGAGCGGTATGAGTATGAGAGAGAGAAGTGGTGTAGCCCGTGAAAGTGCATGCGGATGAGGGCTATACCCGAGAGTACCCGAGAGAGAGATTATATACTCACATGGCCAAGGGTTCCGAATCCATGCATAACCGAGTCCGATCGGCTAAGAACGAGTAGAAGTCATGGAGAGCGGGAGCGAGTCACTGCCGTGCCCCCAGTAAGATGAGGCCGTGACTTACTAAAGAGAGTTAGTAGAAAAGAGTTCTAAGAAAGAGAAAACAGAGAGAGAGAAACAGAAGGAGAAAACAGAGAGAAGTATAAAAGAGAGAGTAAATAAGAATTGTAAGGAAAGACTTAGAGAGAGAGAGTTACGGGGATAGATGACTAGAGGGTTTACTTACTGAGCATTATTTGTGCTCACCCCATTGTCTTTCTATATTTTTGCAAGATTTAGGTGAGGACACGGTCAGATGAACATCAACACGGGAGGAGGAATGGTTACACTGTCTACATAGTTTTTTGATAGTTTTTGTTTATGATACTAATTTTGTATAAAGAATGTATATGTTTAATAAAGAAAAATTTGGGCCCAACTACTTATGTTATTATACATGTATTTTCTTATGTATATTTTTATGAGTATTTGAGTAAGAAGTAGTTATTACACAGATGCTCCAGTATCAATTATCGAAATATTCTTATCAAGGTAAGACATCAAGACAATAGAATTACCTGCCAAGTTAGCAGTGGGAGGAGAAACATTCTCCTTTCCTAGCAATTGGAGGATGTGATTGTATTGCTCAGTAGTCAGAACAGGACCAACAACTGAATCTGAGTTTCCAGTGCTAACCATTGATCCTGAATTTCCCATATCCAATGACTCTGAAGTATGCACCTGATTGGCAGTAAATTTTGACTTAGAGTTTGCTATGCCTTTAGTGAATTGATGGTCAGGTGGATACCCATGCAACTTGTAACAAGTATCTCGTTTGTGTCCAGGAATGTGACAAAATTCGCATTCAATGTAGGGCTTCTTCCCCTTATATTTTTGGCGTTGATTCTGACCTTTGCCATTTTCAGAATGATTGGCATAAAGTGTTGTAGTTACTTCTGAATTCAAACTCATCCTTGCCAAGATTTTCTGACTTTCATCTTGATTGACCACTGAATAAGCTTGCTTGACATTCGGTAAAGGATTCATTAGCAAGATTTGGCTTCGAACCATGGAATATGACTCATTTAATCCCATCAAAGAATGCAGTAATTTCTGTTGATTCAGATGCTCCAAATATGCTTTTGCCGAGGCACTATCAGGTGCAGGAAGACTGATCAGGGAGTCCAACTCATCCCATAATGACTTCAATTTACTATAATAGCTAGCTACAGAATTAGTTCCTTGAGTTAGGTTAACAATTTCCCGATGCAACCCAAACACTCTAGTGCCACTCACTTTGTTATCTTGTTCTTTCAAATCTAGCCAGACCTATGTAGCACTTGTAGAGTAAACTATACCATTGAAGATCTCTTTCGAGGCTGAATTAAAAATCCATGCAAGCACAAGTGAATTACATCTCTCCCATTGTGGAACCAAGCTAGAATGTACAGTCGATTTTGTGCATTTACCATTAACAAATCCAAGTTTATTTTTAGCACAGAGAGAGACCGTCATGGCTCGACTCCAGATGCTGTAATTTTCAGCTCCAACAAGCTGTTCAGAAACCAGTACAGAGCCTGGTGTATCTGATGGATGGACATACAAAGGAGAGTTGGAGTCAATCGATTGAATGGTAACTTCTTCTGTCGATGTTGCGATATTTGATCAACTAATTATCAAATTGATTGGTCTAGAATCAAATTCAAGTCGAATCTACTAAGAATTTAGATTGAACAAATCTCGAACTAAAAAATTCGAAGGATGAAGCAAAAAAATCAAGTAGAAATCAAGTGTTCAAGCTGAATTGAACTTATCTGAATAAAAAAAGCTTCACTCTAATTGACTTATTCTCAGGTGAGGGTTGGAGATTCCGTAGCTCTAATACCATATTAATAAACGAGAGAAAAGGAAATGGAGTTGAATTTGGGAAAGTGCGAATCTGCTCTTTACTGAATGTTACTGTTTGTTTATATATAGCAGTAACTTTAGTCAACTGAAGTTACTTATTGACTGAAGAATAAAAGTAAATTACATGAATACCCTTTACATCTAATATACATATATATATTTAAGCAAATGAATAGTAAATGATGAGCAGTATTACATATAAATACAAACTTGACTTTCTTTTTTTCTTTAGATGATCGGGGATGTCCGGATTAGCTTACGCGCATCTTAATTAATCTCTCGGAATCTTGAAACTATAAGCTGAATAAGAGGTTTAGTGACTACATTTATTAGACAAACTCGACTTATAGCTTAATTTATGCAAACCAAGATGATCAACGCATCATCCAATTTAATTTGTTTTTAATTTAATTTTTTTAGCCATATTAAAACACATAGTTTAGATACATTAAAGTTTGTACATAGAGCTAAAAAGTTAAATTATTTATGAAAGTGGACGTGCTGTAATATATTAAGAGGACTTAAAATGTAATATATATTAAGTTAGAAAGTTTAATTATTTATGGAAATAAGATATTGGTTATTGAGTATTTGAGGGACGTTAGATGGGTGGAAAACTCTGGATTGATTATACCAAATATAAAACAAAAAACAAAAAAAACGAATTTTAATTAAATCCTCTTTCCGGTGGGGAGATCTTCAGTGATCCAACTTCAGTCGTCTAAACATAAGCCAATACTGAAGAAGTAAAGGGTTTTTGTTTTGAGTTTTCTGCGCAAGCCAATTATGGCTACCACTATCAAGTTTCTTTGCGTAATAGTTGCCTGCATGTTGGTGGCTGTACCAAAGACTCATGCAACTTTTCGAGTTATTCATGACTTGAAATGTAACCTCGTCCCATGCGTTAAATACATAAACAAGTTGAGAACAGAGCCGCCTGCTGCAAAGAAACGAAGGCAATTTACAAGGCCGCCGATACCAGAGAGAAACGGCAAGCGGTTTGCAGGTGCTTGCAGTCTGTGGCTAAAGAAACCTTCCATATCGACCGAATGGAAAGTATATATTTTTCATTCTCAGTTTTTATTTTTATTTTTATTTATTTATTTGAAGACAAAAAAGATGACTATGAAGGAATGAAATAGATGATGGGGTTATCAAAGAGATTCAAAAATAGAAACAGATAGATTTTAAAAATAGAAACAAATAGATTTTGTCTTGTTCGGTCAAACTAGTTTAGAAGTTTTAAAATTAAACTGATTTATTTGTTTATAATTTTTTGTTGAAAGAAATAAGTTGAAGGAAGATATATATATATTTTTTGTTATAAACACTTTGTTTATAAATTACTTTGATAAAATATATTACTATATTACCCTTTTTTAATTTTAAAATTTCATCTTATAACCTTATTTTTAATAATATAATACATTTTTTAGTCATTTTAATAATTAAATGTACTTATGAATCACATTTTATTAAACAAGTCACTTATTTATCAATAATTTATAAGTACTTTAATTAAATACACAATTGCTTAAATTTTAAATTCTTAGAGCATCTCCAAATGATTTTTTATATAACTCAAATTATTTATTATAAAGAGTTTATCCATAAAAATAAAAGTCTAACAGACTATTTATTCTTTAAATATAAATTAAAGAGTGAGTTTGACTCTCCACATCTAAAGATTGAAATTTCACTCTTTATCCTAATTTTAAATAATAAATTACAAGTTTCTATGCATTTTATTTATTATTTATCTTTCATATTAAGTTTTTTTATTGAAAAAACATATTCTCTTTCCTAAAATTTATAGAGTCTATTGGATTTGAATAAAAAATTTATTCTTTATATTTAAAAATTAATGAAGATACTCTTTATTTATATAAAAGATACTCTTTATTTTAAAGAACACTATTGAGGATGCTCTTATAATCACTAACTACTTGTAAGTTAATTTTTATTAGCTCCGCCAAACAAACTCTAATTATTTAATAAAATAGAAACAAATAAAAGCTTAGAGTAGCCCAAGTGCCCAACCCCATCCTGTTTGGGGCATCACAATGGAGACTGGAATCTAAAGCCTGAATGAGCTCCCTCCCATTAGGCCAAACATTCGAGAGTCAACTTATTAGTTCTTGCATTATTTAAACTGATAAAAATTAAAATGTTATTTTAAGTAATATGATATTTAATATCAAAGGGGCTTATATGTCAAAATAATAATTTAAAGATACACTTTTACGTGAAAAAACAAACAACTTAACATTGATAATACACTGTAAAAGGTAATATATATATATATATATAGAGTACAAATATTGGGGGAATTTTTTAAGATGAAAGCATTTAGGTATGTAAAAAACAAGAGTCGAACAATTGGGCTTGCCGAATCGGGTTGCGTGGCCCAACTCCGAGCCCACAAACTTTAACTCATCGACCCGCAAAACCTAATGCCTAAATGCCATAAGAAAATTAAGAATAATTCCTGGCCACATTTTGAGAGTTCTAGAAAACCTTGTTAGCCACATTTTTTTTTCATCTAATTAATCAATGTTGTTTTAATAATTTTTATTATTTATTGGACTTCTAAAAAAATATTTCCGTAAATTTTATACCGTCATTTTAGATACCATAAAATCAACCCTGTCTATGGGGATTTTATAATTATTTCTCATAATATTTGATAATATTCTAGAATATCTCCCAGTGAATTCAAGAGAGCCAGCTACCAACGAACCACCGCCTTCTTTCTTTTCACTTTCTCTCTCTTTACAAGCTTCTATAAAAGCGCCAGGTCTCCTTATTCTACACTCACTCAAGCGCATTCGCATTCTTACTGATTTCTCTCCATTACTTATAGTAAAGTTATCTTTTTTTTTATTTGTCTCATCAATCATAATGGCCAGTAGCCTGAAGCTTGTTTGTGTCTTGGTTTTGTGCATGGTGATGACTGCACCAATGGCTCTTGCCGTCGACTGTAATCAGGTGACCAGTGAACTGGCACCATGCTACGGTTACCTGATGACTAATGGTGAGGGTCCTGCCCCGGCAGACTGTTGCAGTGGACTTCAAGCTGTAAACAACGCCGCCCAGACCACAGCCGACCGCCAACAGATCTGCCAATGCTTTAAAAATGCCGCCCAATCGGCTTCCGGTATCAACACTAATACCGCTGCTCAGCTCCCTAGCAAGTGTGGCATCACTATTCCTTACCAGATGAGCGCTTCTACTAACTGCTCCAGGTTTTCAACTTTTGTTATTGATTTCTGAACTACTCTTTTTTTCCCTTTTAGTAATTTTAATTTCTTAAGCTTTTGATTAATTTCTTTCTTTGTTTGTGTTGCATGCAGCATCCAGTGAAGTGCATCATCTACTGGCGATTTACTGGTGAAGAGTAAAATATGCTAGTACGAGAAGAATAATAAATTTTATTAGTATCCGAATATATATATATAGATCTCCCCTGTGTGAGATCTGTCTGATATCGCAGTTTTAGTGTGTATCTTTTGATTTTGTGTCGTTACGACATCTATTTAAATAAGTTATGTTCTCTGTTTTATCTCTGCTCTTTTCCTTTCAATGAACAAGAACAAGCCATAATATTAACTAATATGCATGAGATCATAAACGACTATATGCCGTGTAATTTAATTGCATGAAACAAAATTCATGTCCTCGTTGAAACGAATGAAAGACAAAACACATGATTTATTCTGGTTCGTTTCTATTAAGAAACTATGTCCAACATTCAAATAGAGAATTTTATTGAATATCAATATTCAACAGCAATTACAACGGCAACTCACTCTCAATCTCCATTCTTTCACACTTTAAGTTTTTCACTATTATAGAAAATACATATTAGAAATTTAACCCTATTTGGACTTACTCAAAGCTAACCCGATCTAGGCTAAAATATTAGTAAACCAATTTTGAACATATAGGCAGACAATCCGTCAAAGGATAAGAGAAATATACACCATATCCAACACTCGTTAGTCGTTACCCATCAATCATAATTTTATATTTGTTAACATATTACAAGCTAATCGGCGTGGATAGAGAATTAATATAGAATATTGCTGCCTCCCTGCATATGGGAGTTAAAAGGTTATGATATGGTGGAATAATGTTAACGAACCTGTTTGGGGGGGGGTGGTGTGGTTTGTATAGGTTTTTTTTTTTTTTTTTTTTTTTGTAACTATTGAACCTAACCAAGGCACGTCCTGAAATAGGTGGTTTTGTTATTATTTTAATCTCTACTAGAGTTGTCTGATAGTATCATTCGTTTAGCTTGTCCTAAGATAAGGTGACCATTTTTGGCCTCTTATACATTCTTTTTCCCTTTTTACATATAAGTACTTAAACAATAAAAAATTTTAACGTATTTCTCGAGGAAAGAAGGTTCTTACTTCGTATGCAGGCAGCAGCATTAACAAATCTCACGTGTGGATGCTGCTGCATGCCTTCCAGATGATGGCACCACGCTTCTATATCTCAGAAGGGAAGGTAAATTAAGTTATGGGGGTCCAAATTTTGTGGTTATTGAATGAAAAAACTATAAAAAAATTAATAAATATGTTAAATTTGCTATAACGGAGAGCGATAGGTATAGTTTCATTTTTTCTAATGTTAATGTCATTCATGTTTTGTTGATTTGATTTTATAATATATGGTTTCTTTTACGTTAAATTTAAACGGACCTCGAGCACATATGTTTAATGTAAAATCATGTTAAAAGTTTACTTTATTTTACTCTACGTGGATGTGATATGATATTGAGAATAATATGGCTTACGTGTTGGTGCAAATGCATTTTTTTGCATCAACAGAAGTCAAAAATTTTTGCGATGAAAATCTATGCAAATGTTAGGTAAATCGGTGTTTGAATGCTAGTGTATGTTAAGATGATATAAAACACAAGATCGATAGTGGTTAGATTAGGTGTCACAATTGCTTAGATCTATTGTTATTTGTTTTGTTTTCTTATGTGTTTTCAAGTATAAGGAAACTCATTCTAAGTAAAAGGAGGAAATTTTCACAGCAGGAAAAGTGTTATAAAAGATCTTTCATCACGTTTGAGACCTGTTTATATTACGTTGCCTTGGGACTTGTATTAAAGAATCTTCTGATAGGGGGCACGCGACATGACTGTCAGCACAAATGATGCTACTAATGAATAACCTTGATAGACTTATAAGTGAAGTGTCCTCTCACAGAGTGAACATGTGGGCATGTAGCACATACAAACATGTGGGTTCAATTGACCCACTAACTTTTAAAAAAATAAAAATAAAATCTTATATATTTATAGAATTTACAAAATCACCACTTCACTTAGTTGTGGTGGCGGAGCTAAGCCACCGGATGCCGTTATCCGACCACAAGCCAAGTTGTTATTCTGTGCTATATTGACCTATCATTTACAAGATCACCACTTCACTTGTTTGTGGTGGCAGAGCTAAGCCACTGATGCCACAAAAATTTTCCAATTTTATATAAAATGTAATGATTTTAGTCCTATAAATAAGTTTCTTGGGCACCCCAGGTTTTGAAGTAACACTTTGGACCCATAAATGTAACTTCCCACTATTTTGTGGCCCCTCTATTCATTGAAGATGCCATTGTGGCCCCCCATAAATTTTAGGCTGTGCCCCTGCTTACATGTAAACACCACATAGATTACACATACCTGGACAGAAAAATTTCGGAAGGAATGAAACTATTCCAAAAAGAATCATAATTAGAAGAGTATATGTTTATTGCAGATTTTTTTTTTTTTTTTTGGGGTTTTATGATTCACAAATTGACATAAAAACTAGGTTGAGTAACTGTTAATAAAAAAGATTAGAAACAGAAGAAGAAGATAGAAGAGGTTTGCGTGGTGGCGAAATTGGGGGAGGATGCCATATGGAGAAGACAGAAGACAAGTTGTAATAGAGGTTGCGGTACTAAGTTAAAATAAAGGCAAAAAAATATGAAATACGAGTTAATTAATGAAAGTGTATTGAGTCATAAAACAATCTTTGATGAGTGGAATGGTGTTAGAGAGTGTCGAAACCACGACTAAACGTGCAGATAATAATTAAACTAGAAAAGTAAAGAGATACACGATTTACTCTGATTGTTCCAATAAGGACATTACGTACAACATTCGAATAAAATACTTTTATTGAAATATCGAAAAATTGTTAATAAATACAATGTAAATCACGACAGTTTACTTTTACTCTGTGTTTTTCTTTACTTTGGGTTTCTCACTATTACAAAATGCATATAATATGAAAATCATATCCTTTGGACTTGTCATATTCTAATAGAGAGAAGTGTGGGCATGGCAGCTTTTTTGAATTTTGAGGAAATTAAGTAGCTTTTTTCTTGGCAAAAAAAAAAGTTCTGCTGAGTACACTCACCCCCTTTAATAAGCTCTGCATACTCTATATATTGTTATTTTTACTTATAAATTTACCCTTATAATAGATTTATTAATGAAAAAATAGGGTTAATTAATTATAACTCAATTAAAGTTGAGAATTTATGTAAGATTTGATGAGTTTTTATTAACTTAACAACAACCACAAACCCTACATTCTCCTGGGTCCTGATCTCTCTATCTTCACTTCTTACAGCTTTCTATATAAACCTCAAGCCTGTCAATTCTGCGTTCGTTACTCAAGCCATTCGGTAAACAGTCTGTTTTGATTATTCTGGAGAATCCTAATGGCTAGCCTAAAGTTTAATGTTTGTGCCTTGGTTGTATGCATGCTGGTCATAACTGCAACAAGGGTTCATGGCTTCGGCTGTCGCCGGGTGATCGATAAACTGGCTCCATGCCTTTGGTAACTGGAGAGAGGTGGTAATGGTTCTGTGCCGGTGGCGGTGAGTTGCTGCGCCGGAGTCAAGGCCCTAAACTACACTGCCAGACCACCGCGGCTCAAATATTGACTTGCCAATGCTTTCAAACTGTCACCAACTCAATCAATGGTATCAACTCTAGTGCTCTACTGAAGCTGGCCTTTCCACCAAATGTGGACTCAACGTCACGCCTCTTATGCCATTTTCTTTCTCCTCATTTTCTTCATCTCGCACCTTACACTGCCGCCACCACCCCACCATTGCCATCTCTCCAGTTCCACTCTTCTAAATCTTATTCAAGAACCAAATCTAAACCACAAAATCAACCATAAATGAGAATACAACAAGCAATACATCAACCACATTTTTATTTCTTTTGTCCAAATTCATAATTTTTTTTTTATTTCTTCTCCAAGTTCTTAATGGCAGCGGTTGGAGTCACGTTTCGAAACCCAGCCGTGACGTTGAACGTTACTAGGCAGCTAAGCGAACTGATTTGATGCAACCTAATCCCACAAAAACACAGAATCGCATCACAACTCTTCCATCACAATTCACAGCCGTGGTTGGGGTTGATCACTGGGCGCTGCAGGTGGGGTTCGATTGCGTGCGAGGGGTGGCGATGGGCGTGGAGTTTGGTTGTGCACGATGGGGTGGTGATGGGGAGCAAGATAGGCTGGGCACAACCCGTAGCCAAGATTTCTAGTCAGTGGGGTCAAAAGATCTAAATTGATAAATTTACAATAAAATATATACTGAAATAATAAATATAAACAAAAAATATTTTTAAAAGTTATAGATACCAAATTATCAATTTTATAATTATCTTATATTCAATTAACCAATATATCAGAATTCGCATCACAACTCTTTCATCACAGACATGGTTAGGGTTGGTCACTGGGCGCTATAGGTGGGGTTCGGTTGCGTGCGAGGGGTGGCGATGAGCGTAGAGTTTGGTTGTGCATGATGGGGCGATGTTGGAGGAGGAGGACGAGGGAGTGTGGGAGGGTTATTAATGGATTTCAAATAGATGATGGGGTAGTTTAATTAAACTTGTAATAGTTACTACCATAGTTTGATTATGAAATATCAAGGGTGGTGACTGATTTTCTCTCAATTTTGTAAGCATGGACCATAAATTTGGCCGGGGCATTTATCTCTATACATCAAAATTAATTACTTATTAACAATTGTTTACCAGCTTGTTCTCTTTAATAATTCAATTTCCATTAACGGACTTGTAAAGCTCCAAGGAATTAACGTCAAAGGAATCCTCAAATTTTAAATTGTTCATCCACCCTCATTAATATAGAGCACATAAGCTGCTTTGGATGTTTTTCTTCTTTTAATGGTTTCAAATCAAAGACAAATTTAAAGATAATATCTGCTTATGGCTCCAATCAAATATATTTCCGTATGAATATGCTGATCATTCGTCTTAGAGTATCTTCAATGCCAATTATGCTCTTTATTTTTAAAGACTATCTTTTATATAAATAAAAAGTATTTTTATTAATTTCTAAATATAAAATATAAATTTTTTATTTAAATCTAATTGATTCTTTAAATTTTAAGAGAGATAATATATTTTTTTTTTTAAAAAGAGACTTAATAAAGAAAATTAATAAATAAAATATATAAAAATTTGTAATTTATTAATTAAAATTAGAATAAAGAATAAAATTTAACTTTCTAAATATAGAAAATAAATTTTAAAAAGTATAAAGGGTACTGATATTATTATCCTAATAATTCGTCTCATTAAATACATTTCGGTCGATCATTTGAGAGCATTTAAAGTTGCTCAACTGTAAACCCGACGTGAAAACGAAAGCATTAAATTAATCCAACTGTTAACTAGACCCCAATTCCTCCGACTCATATAGGATCCTAAAGGAATATTTTCTATATAAACACCTTAATCTATTACGATAATTCTCACACTCATCTTCAAAAGAAACTTCCAACTCTCTCTTATAATTTAAGCAAGTCAAATTATCATGGCTAACCCTCTGGCTCTTCGACTGGCTGGTTTGGTTCTGCTGTGCATGGTGGTGGGTGCGCCCATTGCCCAAGCTGCCATCACTTGTGGTCAAGTGTCAACCAGCCTCGGGCCATGCATAAACTACGTCAAAACTGGCGGGGCTCTACCCCCGGCTTGCTGCGCCGGGATCAAAGCACTTCGAGCGGCGGCCAAGACCACAGCTGACACCCAGGCGGCCTGCAAGTGCATTAAAAGCGCTGTATCAGCCATCTCCGGCATCAACTACGGTATTGCAGCTGGGCTTCCCGGCAAGTGCGGTGTCAGCATCCCTTACAAGATCAGCCCATCAACTGACTGCAGCACGTAATTAAACAAAATTTTTACACACTATTGTGAATATATATATTGCCTCATTATGGATTTTAATCCTTTATTAATTTTTGTTGTTGTTATGTGCAGCGTTAAGTACTGAGTTCGTGAAGAGAAGCAATACTTCTCAGAAGCAAAATATATTATATGGATGGAATAAAGTGGGAGCGAAGAATCTGTATCTTCTCATCTAGGGAGTAATCGTAGTGTTAATCTAAGTAATTGTATTTCTTTCACTAGACCTCGTATCCCACATTTTATATTTGACTACAAGATGTAGACTACTTTATTTTATGTATAAATGGTCTTATCTTGATTTGGTTTATAATGAACATCCGGTTGGCTGGTGCATTATCTAGCTTCAAGGTTAATAAAAAAAGGATAAAAAAATTGAAAATAGGTAAATACAGCAATGAACAAACTTGCTTAATGAATCAAACCAACAATAGTTATTAACAGATTCTGTAAAATAAATGTGTCCTCTCAAACCCCATAAGAAGAAGAAGAAGAAGAAAGAAACTACTGATTCTTCGTAACCGTAGTAAATTCCATCAATTAATTGTCTCTTCACCATCACAATCAACTGCGAACGCATAACGCGATGCATAAACCATTGGACAGAATTGAAGACAACGAAAGCTGATTGCCGTCAATTGGACGATGATGTTGTGGTTATAAACACATTTCTGGTATTACGTGAAGCTCTTCAATTGGTGCTAACTGGGACTCGATAGCTTACCAAACCGAGAGGCTACAGAGGTTGAACCCACAGATTTTAATGACTGATTAATTCGTATGTCCAAAGCCAAAAGGAAATAACCAAATGGGTTTCTTTCAGCTTTACATATTTCCTGCTTCAAGGACAATAATGCTGTAGGTACTGCCACTGTCTCATTAATTCAATGAAAGCTGACTGATTCCCGTTACTGTTAGGTTCATCTCATTGATTCTTACAAACATTAGAAACCTTGGGGTTTTTTTGTTTTTAATGGATACATACAAACCTAGATTTGACTTTAGATCCTCTTATATTTGAATTTCGAATGGTGTTATTTGCAGGAGAGAAAATATTGTTTTTAAAAATATGCGTATTAATTCTTTTTTAGGTGTTCATAATTATAATACAAATTTTATAGATTAAGGTTTAGTTGATAAATGTATCATGTATTATGTCTTCAATGAGAACAATATTTAAACACACTGACTTCATAGATGATTTTTTTTTTTTTTGACATAAATTGATGTCACATATAATTAAGGAAAGAGTATAAATGAAATAATAAAGTTAATACTAATTAATGAGAATTAGTGAAAAAGAAAGGAAACTGTATTTCGTGGTCACCGTCCTAACCCTATTAATTATGTCTGATATTCAAAAATGGAAAATAATATACAGCCTCTCTTTTCGTGCTGCCAAACCTAACATTACTTCTGTAAAAGGGAAAAGTTTCGGAGAACCACATTTTTACATAAAATGTGACACACTTTATAAGCTATTAAATCAAAACACTTTGGATGGTTGAGATTCAATTCAATACAACTCGCATAATTAAACCTTTTAAAAATATCATATTTAAATACATTCTCAACCATTCAAATACATTAACATAATGGTTCAAAATTTGTGTCACAACTTGTGTTAAGAAAAAGGGCTCCCAATCCTAACCCATTTTGTAGGAATTCTAATATGAATTCCACTCAATTCTAACAATCAATCCCAAAATCTACATATTAATTATAGAATACTGATGATATGAATTCATGCAACCTCAATTCATATACCACCTTGTTTCAACCAATTTCAACTCAACATAAGCTAGGATTCGTTTGCAATACCCTAACACAAATCCGGCTAACACTCCACAAGCATACAGAACCCCTATGACAACTTTAGAAAAACACTTTTCATCTAATCTCAATCAACACAAACTCATTCCACTTCAAGTACACAACACAAATTGGAATACAAACAAAACAAGTCAAACCCGAAATTGAGATGAATGGTAACTAAACGGGAAATAACTTACAAGATAGATGATCAATGATCATTCAAGCCCAAAGGAAATCCACCAGCTTGAAAAATCAATCCACCACTAAGCTTGGCCAAAACTTGGGTAAGAAATTCAAAGAGAAAAACAATTCTCCAAGAAAAATATTATTCATATAATATTCGTTGTCTAATTCATATTATGAAAGAATAACCTTTAAATAGGCTTTACAAAACATAAGAATTGCCCTAACAAATATTACAAAATCTTACATAAAATATTAATGGTTAATTCTCCACCATTCAATTATAAAATGCAAACCATACTCATTTAATACAAAGGACAACCACCTCTTAAATTAAAGATCTATGTCCCTAATTGCATTTTACTTGATTTTACTTCACCAAATTGAATCAAATAACATCCACACCTTGATCATTAAAAAAAAAAAAAAAAAAAAAAAGTTAAATTACATGGAAAAACATTCGAGTTTGGGGGATTTGTGTGTTGCTTTTCTAATAATGGTAATTTAAAAAAAGTGGAATGTATTACACGTACAAAATTTGTATACAAAGTGATGCTTTTATATTAATTCATCTATTTATTTTGTGTCACATGTATACAAATTTATACCTATAGTATTTCTTTATGCTTTTTAAAATTTGTATCACAAAAACAGCAATGAACAAACTTGCTTAATGAATCAAACCAATAATAGTTATTAACAGTTTCTGTAAAATAAAAGTGTCCTCTCAAACCCCATAAGAAGAAGAAGAAGAAAGAAACTACTGATTCTTCGTAACACCGACGACAGAAGATTGCGAACGCATAACGCATAGTAAATTCCGTCAATTAATTGTCTCTTCACCATCACAATAGATTACGAACGCATAACGCATGCATAAACCATCGGACAGAATTGAAGACAACGAAAGCTGATTGCCGTCAATTGGACGATGATGTTGTGGTTATAAACGCATATCTGGTATTACGTGAAGCTCTTCAATTGGTGCTAACTGGGACCCGATCGCTTACCAAACGGAGAGGCTAGAGAGGTTGAACCCACACATTTTTATGACTGATTAATTCGTATGCCCAAAGCCAAAAGGAAATAATAACCAAATGGGTTTCTTTCAGCTTTACATATTTCCTGCTTCAAGGACAATAATGCTACAGGTACTGCCACCGTCTCATTAGGACAACACTTTTCATCTATTCTCAATCAACACAAAGTCATTTCACTTCTCTACACAACACAAATTGAAACACAAACAAAACAAGTCAAATCCGAAATTGAGATGAATGGTAATCAAATAGAAAATAACTTACAAGATAGATGGCCAAGGATCATTCAAGCCTAAAAGAGCTCTACCAACTTGAAAAATCAATTCACCACCAAGCTTGGCCAAAACTTGGGTAAAGGAATTTAAAGACAAAAACAATTCTCCAAGGAGAATACTATTCATGTAATATTCATTGTCTAATTCATATTATGAAAGAGTGTCCTTTAAATAGAGTTTACAAAACATGAGAATTGCCCTAACAAATATTACTACATCTTACACAAAATATTAATGGTTAATTCTCCACCATTCTATTACAAAATGCAAACCATGTCCATTTAATGCAAATGACAACCACCCCTTAAATTAAGGATCTATGTGCCTAATTACATTTTACTTGATTTTCCTTCGCCAAATTGAATCAAATAGCATCCACGCATTGGGCTTGGACTAATTAAGCTTCTCCCCACTTGATCTCCATGGATTGAGCTACACAAAAGGGTTTGTGCCATGTCTTGGACCTTTAACACATCTTGAACAAGTTTGTGAGCTTTCTTGAGTGATTGGACTAAATGTTGTCCTCCTTGTAAGGCTTGGGCTCCTTGAATCTTCAATGAACAATCTTTGCATGTTTAAAGAACACAATGAGCTTGGATTCTCATCAACTGAATTTAAAGCTTAAGGGTTAGAAAAACCTGGTTCTACCATAACTTTTGAATTCCTTGAATTCAGAAGTAGTGACCAGTCTTTCTTTCTAGAAACGTTCTAAAATGATAACTTTCAAATGGGATTCAGTGCGCGATCACGTTTTAAAAAGAGGACTTAGCCAAATTTATAACAATCTATTGGGTCTTTCTATTAATTATCTAATAAACTCTAAAACTCGTTACAAGCCCAAGCTTATACTTTTGTCAACCCAAATTATTCAATAATGAAGTGTATTGGATAATCCAGGAATGATATATCTCATTGAGCTATGCATTTTCTCAGTTTTATTGAGCCAAAATATAATTAATGCCCTCTTGACTTTTGGGCTCGTTATTGACTGCAAAGTTGTGGTTGGAGGTGGGCTGTCTTTTTTTTGGCAGCCCCTCCCGTTGGGTGAATGTGCTTCCCCTTTTGACCTTGTACAAATGCTTTTTGCCTTAGTATATTTTTAGACCCTTGTATCGTTCTTTTCCTTGGCCCTGTCCAGGGTTTTTGATTGGAGAGCAGCCGTTTCCGTATGTTGTAATCTTTTTCTTTTTATACAATTGTCGAGATTACCCAAAAAATATATATATTTTAATGTAGACTTATGTCTAATGTCATGCACATTCTAAGAAGAATATGATTAGCTAGCTTGCAAATGTTGAAATCACAACTAAAACACACAACAATGAAAGTAGAAAAGTAGCAAAAACAAATCGATTTATTCTTATTCGTTATCAATGAAAGGATTACGTCCAACATTTAAATAAAGTAGTTTTATTGAGTTTCAAAAATCTACAAAATACAATAATATAAATCTGCATCGAATGTGTTAGCATTAGGTCTATGCAAAGTATGAATCATATCTAACAATAAATATGCAAATACCGTAACGTTACATAATTTCAATAGTCAATATAAAAAAAAATTAAGAAAACAAAAAAANTATGTGTGTGTTCTTTGGTAGACGTAAATTCTCAATACCCCACTTTCATGTTAACAAATTTGTAACATAGAAGGTTAAATTTGTGACATGTTTAAATGTGGGTATAAATCAGTTAATGACTGGTTTTTAGATGTTAAACGTTATTCAATGTTAATAAACTTTACATTTTTTTTCTTTTTTCCGAAACTTTAGTAAACTTTACATCGATTAGATGTGAAACAGTCATTGTTATTAGTCATTGAG